ATTCCTTTCAGATTGTGTTGAAAACTTCTTAGCTGCACATACTGAAACACACTGTTACATCTATTAGCCAATATTACATTCATTGCATCAAAAGAAATAATTTTTATTGCAAAGTACTTGTGCCACAGACTTTATTTTCCTTTGCTCTAATTCTTTTACTAGATTGACTGGTCAATTATTATTCATCAACTTCTGAGTCTGAAAAGGGGTGATAGACCTTTTGTGATGACATGCAACATCCTGACTTCTGCCTGGATTTCCTGCAAAGGGATGATCTTCCAATTCAGCATTATCCAGTTTCATGTCATCTAGGATAAGGGTGACCAACCTGCAGCATGACTGCCACATGTGGCATGGGCAGCTTCTGGGTTTGACATGCAGCAGATCACGGAGGGGACAAGCGGCACAGTGGCAGACAGGGTGGAGAGCAGAAATCAGAGCAGCAGATGAGGCAGGGAGCAGAAGACAGAAAACAGAAAGCAGAGCAGCAGGTCGGACAGGGAAAAGGAATCAGAGTGGCACTTGGATAGGATGCACAACTAATTTGTGGCAAACCAGCCAAAAAAGTTGGCCTCCACTGCCTTACATAATGCTGCCAGCAAGACTGAGGCACTTTCAAATAAACTCTATTCTTATTTTTGTTCCTTTAGTATTAGCGTTGCACATCTGAGGATTAGATGACCATGACTGTGAGAGTGATCCTGCAAACCCTTTCTCACATGAGCAATCCTAGGTTGGAGCAATATAGTAGGGTGTGTGGAGGCAGGGGGAAGCGTTTTAAATTTCTTCTCATCAATTGTGTTGGTTTCCTTTTACTTCCTCCTGGTCAGAGAAAACAGGTTGTTCTGTGGTGTATAACTCTCACCAACATAAAGGAGCTAATTAACCATGTATTTTTTTTCAGAATAGAACACCATATTTATTCATATACCATATTTAGCTTCCCCCCCCCCACAAACTTAGTGATGAAAAATTTGGAGATGTGTCTTAATTTAGGAAAATGATTTCCACAGGGTCTGAAATGGATGGGCATGGTCTGTATAGAGCTGAGGCAGGATTTCTCTCCTCAACCTTCCCCTGCTGCAGGCCCAACAGTTACTGATTTAACTCTGTCTTAACTGCTACTGAATTAAGTCTTAGTAGTTTTAGTCTGCATACAATTAGGTTGGAGCAGTAAGAAGGTTAATGCTATAGCTTTTGCAGTAGCATCCATGCATGGGGGAGAGGAATTGAGACTCATGAGCGGGTCCCACTCCCCTCCCCCACTCCACACTGCCAAACCCATAGCAGCAAGTAAACTTGTGCCTACTTCCCCATCTTCCCCCCTCCCCAAGGAAAATCTTTTTTTTAATTCATTCTAACTTCCTAAAACAATGTGGATGTCTTATCTGGGGGCATGTGATGTGGCAGAATGCTAGCTCTGTTTCTCCCCAAAAACTCTGCTCTGTGACAATTTGGTTAACATGGGCCCTGCAGAGGGCAGACATCCCATCTCTTTAGGTAACCTGAGTTGGATACATTCCTGAGGGAGGGGGGAAACCTTCTCCCCCTGCCTACATGACTGGCATCACATACCTGGCAATGCCAGCCTGACTGTGAGGGGGCTAGAGACCCTGCCAGTCTACCTGGCAACCAGTGATGCATTTCAAATTGGTTGGCTGACAGCCAACAGGTGTTGGCCTCCATTGGACCAGGTAAATGAGGTCATGTATAAATTAAGGACTGTCCAGGAGGAGGGGCAGTAGCCATGATGAAAACTCAGAGAGAGAAGAGCTGGATCATCTGAAACTTGCTCTCTCTCAAAACTCACGATCAAGGAACTGCCTGCCTCCAGAGGGAATCTCCACCTGCCTCTGGAGGATACTTGTGAGTAAGCTACCTAAGATCTAACTAGATATATAGCTTGCAGTAACTCAGATGCATGATCAAAAGCTACCCAGCCACCCTGTTTGCTCTATGGAATTTCTTTAATATTGCTCTACCCCAGGGGCGGGCAATTATTTTGGGCAGAGGGCCGCTTAATGAGTTTTGGCAAGCTATCGAGGGCTGCATGACAGGCAGCCCAGGGTAGATAAATATTAACTTTCTAAATTTTTTAGGGGCCCCATGGGCCAAATAGAATGGCCTGGAGGGCCGCATCCAGCCCCCAGGCTGCATTTTGCTGCTCTACCCTGTACCCTATTCCAAACCTATTCCTTGTAGTCAATAAAGTTCTCCTTTCATAGGATCATAGAAGTAGGGTTGGAAGGGACCTTATAGATCTTTGCATTTAGCATGGGAGACTTTTTGGGAGAGGGGCTAGATTATACCTTGGGGTCCCCTTGGTTTGGCTGACTAAGGGAGACCACTATTTGTGCTTCAGTCTGAGGGAAGCACCCCAAGTTCTTGGAGTGGGTTGGAGTACCCTTAAGGACTACTAGGCCTGTTTCCCAGGGGGCACAGAGCCAGGATCAGGCCAGACCCTGGGTGGTGGCAGCATTATCCCAGACTAGCAGGTGTGCTCCAGGAAGGGGGTTGGCCAGACATGCAGCACTCCCAGGGAGGCACTTGGAGCCTGGAAGGTGGTTCAGCGCAGTGAGGTGGGTCGCTTGGCACAAGAGCACCCCCTACTGGCCCAACACATGTGGTATGCAAATAAATATGATATTAAATAATAATGATTTTACAATTTAATCCTAACTAGTTTCAGTCTCTTCTACCCTGCCTAAGCTATATTGAGCCATGGATCTGGTGCAGCACTGTAGTGTAACCAAGCTCACTGAACTCAGGAGACTACCTGGATGGGTAAGGAAAGTTGATATCAAGATTACCATGACTGGAGAAAGAGCTTTTAGGTAGGCACTGATCCTGCAAAGGCTTGAGTATGTGCTTAATATTACTTGCTGTGAGTAATCCCATTTACCACATAAAGCTAATATGATGCATAAACCTTGTTGAGATCAAGACAGTGGAAGGCAAAACTCCAATGGTTTCATTGTGACTCGCTCCATTGCATTTCAGTGAGGATAAGGTAGAATCTTTAGCTTCCCCCTCCAAATGTCTCTTAACAATTCCTTTCCAATGTTTGCATTTATGACATTAGGTTTCATTCAGCTGCTGTTTGCATTTGGCACTCACTGGGCATGTCTATAAATGCAATGAGTGCAACTGAATAAAATCTGGTGCAACTTGAGCTGGAGTAAACTAATTTGGAAGTTATCATCTACACATGCATTTAAGCGTAGTAATTTACTTCGCTGTCAGATAGCATTTGTCTGACAGGACTACCTGATGGTGCAGTAAATTAGTCTACACTGACCTAACTGCCCCATGTGTAGACAGTGATGCTTTACTATGCAGCAAATTACTCTACTCCACAGTAAAGCACATGTGTAGATGTGCCCAGTATAACTCTCTGCTGTTAATGTGAAAAGTCATTTTACATAGCCCCAGAGAAATCTACATTTAATCACACAAAAAAAAAACAACCCCTACTGATCATCTCTTCATATTTTTATTACAAGTTATTTTTTTAATAATAATAATAATAATAATAATAATAATTTAGGTAGGTCAATAACTTGAAATGTTTTATTAAAATGAGTGTTCCAAGAACATTTGGTAAAGATTAATTTTAACTGGTTATCTGAAAAAGTGAACATCAGGTAGTAATGAAGCATTGAAAGGGTCCCCTCTCTTCTCTGTACAAGAGCACTAATGAGAATTCCGTGCCCATCTTGAAAGAGAAACTGATTTTTACAGAACGAAATTCATTCCAGACAACCCATTCTGATTCTGTAAATCTTTGTGATAATTACAAATGTGATACTTACAGAAAATATTGCGAACAACCAGTGCCCAGAGATCTGCATCATTATTGCAATTTTTTATAGTTCTCAATTAATGAACAAATTTATACTTCTGAGAAAATTATACCTGAGCCATACGGCACAATCATTTAAATCAGCTACTCATAGCAAGCACAGTACAATGCATAGCTTCACTTCAAGACAGATTAGACTAAACACCACATGGAAAACAAACCACTCCCCAACTCTGAAATGGAGGTGTCAGTCAGAACTCATTCTTCAAATCGGTTTCCAGAAGTTGTTGAGCTGTCCCTCCTAAGAGAATTAGACAAGTATGACTGTGGACAAAACAAAGTGTCTGAAAGTGGTTTTTTTAAAAAAAAACAAAACAGGACATATGTATATTTCTTAAGAATGTTTTCCAGGCAAGTAGGTCTTTAGGTTTATGTAAAATTAGTCTGGGGAAAAATATGGAGTTTTTAAAGATTATTTTAAAGTTCCCGGGGGGGGGGGGGGGGGGGGGGATTTAAGTCCTCTTGGTGCACTTGAAAATTCATTTCCAATTTGAAAAAGCTAGTTTCATATACATAACAGAAGGGAGCCTTGTCCTGTACTCCTTACTCAGGTGTTTCACAGGAATGAAGTCTCAAGGATTAGGCCCACAATGATTATTGTTGTTCTTTCTATATGGGAAGTTAGCTTGGGTCACCTACTTTTTGCAGACCTTAACTTGTTCATTTTGGGCTGGTGAGGGGGGGGATGTTCATTCTGAGGCATAGGCTGCACTCTATTTCTGCAGTAAGCCGTGTGTGGAGATGGGTAGATGGGATAAGTATGCTTACTGTCCACTTAGCAACTGCATGGCCAGTCCATTAAAAAGCACAAGGCTTTACTAGATTTTCTTCAGGTCTCTTTTGTGCCACCTTTAAAGATAAGTCCAAGGGAGAGGGCCTGTGAAAAATCCTATTAGTATTTTTACTTCAAAAAGGTAAATCGCCAGATTGCATAGCAGGATACAGTCAGCCCCAAAGCCTGTGTGAAGTCCCAGCAGCTATAAAAAGGAAGCCACAGCCTCCTGTAACTTTATAACTACTGTGGATCTGAACCTGTTTTCTCAATGTACGCTCTGTATTGTAGTGTACAAAGAGGTACTGGGCCCTCAAGAGACCAAAACCCAACTGCAGGTGGTCAGTAGATAACCCAGCTGCAGGTGGTCTGTCTGCTTACAGGAGTCCTGCAGTCTGAAAGGCTGAAGACTGCATAAGACGCAGATGGGCAAACTCCACTAAGCCCATCCAATCTTCCCCCAAAAATTATCTGGGGGAATTCTGACTTCTGTGGGTCTTTCCACAGAAGGGATTAGTCTGGCTCAAACTAATTTTCAGACCAGTCGGTGATTTTTTGTTACCAGATGTTATTACACTGCAGTTAAAGTACATGAAATTTACCATGCAGTATTACTGTCACTAGTACATAAGTAAAGGCAGCCTATAAAACAACAAACAATACAAAGAACAATTTTTCCTTCTATTCGGTTGGTCTAATAAAAGATATCACATTTACCCAAAAAATGTTTTCCACCTATGTCCTTAGACCAACATGGCTACAACCAACAACCCTAAAACAATCCATTAAAGCACTGCTGTTTTTAACTGGGCATTTAGGAGACGTACTGCAATCTGTTAATACTATAAGCATCTCAAAGATCCATTGGCACTTCCAAGTATATATTACTGTCACAGCATGTAATTCTACCAGCCAAAAAACCTTCTTTAGAGAAACTTTCAGTTCAGAAAAGGAAGCATTATCAATTCTGTGAAACTTCTTGCTGAGAGAATCACCCTCTAACCACATACAACCTCAGAGATTGACTTGCATTGCAAAGGAAATGAATAAGTAAGTGTGGCAAAGTGGGCTCCCCACCTAGCCACAGTGCTAGGTTCCTCACTTGCCTTTGGGCACACCACCCACCTGACTCACCTGCCATGCCTTGTTCTTAATTAAGATGTTAATTAAGGTGGGAGGCTGCCCATTCATGCCCCGATGCCAGGGGGGCACTATCTGCAGCTTCATACCTCCTCTACACTGCGGCCCATGCCTCGCAGATGGCATCCAGCTGTTAATCTCCCCATCCCGCCACTGGGCTCCAGAATCCTCCAGTCGGGACCACTCTAAGATCCCTCCATTCAGGCTGTCTAGCTCCCTGAAACTATTTCCCCTCTTGGGCATGGTCCCCCCAGGACCTTTGGCCACACAGACCCTGGCCTCACCTCCAAGGCCAGTTGGAAACCCAGGCTCTCAGCTCTGGGCATCCCTCATGTTGGGCCCCTGGCCCTTTTGACCGTTCTGGTCCTGGCCCCAGCACTGACCAGTTAAGGGTACTCTACATCAGGTCTCTGCCACTCTCGCCCCGCTCTCACTCCCAGGGTCTGCCTTCTGGGCCTACTAGCAGGTGACCCACCCAGTTGTGGCAGCTGGGGTGACTCACACCACAACTGGTGTTCCAGGTCTCATGGAGACTCTCACTCCCCCCCGGAGCAGCATGTCATTGTGCTCTCTATATATAAACATATTGGGCTCTCAGCCCTCTGGTTTTCCTCCCCTTTCACTGGGGTTCCTCATCTCTGTCCCCTCACATGGGGCTGTGGGGCTTCGCTCCCCAGTGGGCTCAGGTGGCCATAGCTGTACCTGGCCCCAACTACTTTTCCTCAGGGTCTTACACCCTGCATAGGGCTCAGGTGGCCACAGCCATGCCTGGCCCCCACTCTCCCTCCTCAGGGTCTCTCAGGGTCTTGCACCCCATAGGGCTCAGGTGGCCACAGCCATGCCTGGCCCCCACTCTCCCTCCTCAGGGTCTCTCAGGGTCTTGCACCCCATAGGGCTCAGGTGGCCACAGCCATGCCTGGCCCCCACCTACCTCCAGTGTTACACAAACCTACCCAAAGGTGAGGGCTACAGTTAAGGCACCCCTACCCACCTTTCACCAGGGTGATAACTGGCCTGGCATTTCCTGAAGACTCCCACACCACTGAGAGCCCCACCAGGCTACCCACTCCCGGCAGGGTGCAGATTTAGATCATGCCCAGTACCAGGAACCTCCTAACCATCCCCTACAGCTCCTCCCTTACCTCCAGGATGTTCCAGCAGCCTCACAACCAGGCAATGTTGCTGCCTGGCCTGCCAACAGCAAACTGCCCTGTTTATATGGGCAGCCAGAGCTCTAAAATGGCCACCACAATTAAGCACCTGCTGGCTGCTTGGCCCCCAGTCCTAAAGTGGCAGGCACCAACAGTGCCCTGCCACATACCTTCCCCCTTAAAATGGTACCTGGTGGAGGTTTCCCTTGCTGCCCCCCAAAACAGGCTCTCCTCGGAGCCTGCGAAAGCCCTCAAGTGGCGAGCACCCCCAAAGGTGCTCCGCCACACACCTGCCCCCCTTAGAGTGAGATCTGGGGCTTTGCTTGGCTGCCTTCCCCACTGGGCTCTGCCCCAGCCTACTGCAGCCCCTGCCACATGGCGAGCACCCCAAAGGTGCTCCGCCACAATAAGCTACAAGTTAGTTTGGGTGGTGGTGAGCATGACAGGGCTGTGTGCCCCTGGATTGGATGGGTTCATTCACAGCTTATGCAGCAGGGAGGGATCCAGTTGGGAGAAAACCACCCTCATAATGCACAGCCCCCAATGCCATCCAAGTTGGACCTACAGAACAGGTACAGAAGAAGTAATGGCAAGGCAGTGCCCCTGTTGTGACTGAACTTGGACCTTGAGGGATCATTTGTAGGTTGTTACAGAGCTGTTCAATTTTCAGATCTATTCAGTCTTTGGCCTCTCTGCTGAGACTGTAAGAAAGCCAGTTATAATCATCTATGGAAATTAAATTTTTAATTATGCTTGGCATTTCAAAGACAGCAAAGGACAACAGCCATCTTTTCCAAAAGTGACATCTCTTCTGACCTTAGCTGAATAAAGGAGAATCAACAAAAATATTTTAGAAGTGACCACATGCCGTGACAAGCCAGCAGTGCAAGGCTGGGGAGCAGATACATGGCTAGAACCTACATTCTGTTGTAACCAGATAAGCCAGAACATGTTAATGCAATTTAAAAAGGACAGTTTAATATTGTTTGCCATTACTTGTGTTCATCCAACTTTCATCAATAGGGACTGCTGTTCACGTAGATGGTATTCATGAAAGAATGAGAAACAATGTGAAGTGCTATCATTTGCACTTGCAACACCTCAGGTGTATTCATAACAAAGGCAAACTTTTCCCATATTAATTCCCCCACCCCTCACAAATTGTTCTTGCTGCTGCAGAAGGAAGACAGGACAAGTGGCACACTTCCTGTTGAGTCAATACAAAACTTATATCCTAATGCCATGCTGTGGATACTGTGCTCCAGAAGAGCACAGCTTGCAGAGAAGACATGAAACAAGGGTTCTGATCCCTTGTGGCCATCAAAAACCACTTGGATTCTTCTAGAACGATGTGACATGATGTCAAATCCCTTTTGAATAACAGTTAATTGGGGCTATCAAAAATAGTAAAACACTCAAGTATTCAAAGAACAAATCTATCAATCCAGGTTTATTATGTGGTCAGTTGCAGAATAAGATTGAGTAAAGCGCTCCCTGAGCCTGTGGTATGCCCATGCCAGTGGACTGAAGATGCGTCCATGATGTAAGCAGAGATTTCTCTCTCTAGTCTATGTACTAACACTTCCCCACTTATAAAATAGCATAGCTTCTCTCTCTCATCTTTTCTCCAGCCACTCAGCTTCAGACAAGCTGGCCATCTTATGTCAATTTCTCTGCCAAATCCAGCTGTTTAACCCAATCCCCAATTAGTCAAAGGCTCTGCTACTTTCTGTTGTACTACCACATTGCTTTCTTAAATTCCCCCCGAAACTGCCACTCAGCATAATAGTATTCCTTGCTTTTCCTCCTAAGTTATGCAACGGTATTACTGGACAGTGTTAAACAGCCACCCAAGAAGTGGGTATATTTCATTGGGCTTGTGGCCTTAATAATTCTTTGCTCATATGTTGAAGCACATTCTACCCTCAACTGTTCTTAAATTCAATGAGAGCTACAAACACACATCTCCACGTTTTTAAAGTAGGAGAGGATGAAAGGCAATACACAAACTATTTTTGTAGGTTCAAGGGATGCTGTAGCCCTGACCTGAAGGGCCCTTTGTGCACAAATGCCTGTCTAACATCTCTTCCAACCATACCTTTGGTCCAATAAAAGATAACATTAAAAAAAATCCTTGCCTCTCCAGACTTTTTTTTGGAACAGCCAATTACCATCTGGTCTCAATCTGAATTTTCCTGTGA